AAGAGCTCAGTATCTCCCTCTGCCTTCCAGGTACCCAAAGCTGGCTGCTCTGAACCCGGAGTCCAACACCTCAGGGCTGGACATATTTGCCAAGTTTTCTGCCTACATCAAGAACTCAAACCCGGCACTCAATGACAGTGAGTCTCTCAGGGCTGGGGCTTCAGTCCCAGAGAGAAGACCCTAGAGTTGAGAGGCACCAGGAGTCCCACGGAGTTTGGTTGTCAGGGAGATGGAGCAGATGCTCCTGGACATCATCTGGGCCTCCACTGTGGCTTTACCCCTCAACCTCCCTGCTGCCTCCCTGCTAGGACTTTTGGGGTTGGAGGGGTTCTTGTTTAGTGTTTTGAGATTTTATTTATCCTTATTTAATATCTATTTATTTATTTATTTATTTATTGTTTTTTAGAGACAGGATTCCTCTGTAACTAGCTGTCCTGGAACTAGCTCTTGTAGACTAGTCTGGCCTCGAACTCACAGAAATCCTCCTGCCTCTGCCTCCCGAGTGCTGGGAATAAAGGTGTGCATCACCACCACCCGGCAGTTTTATTTATTTTTATGTATGTATTTCCTGAATGTCTATCTGTGAACCCATATGTGCAGAAAAGTGCTTTTAACTAATCTCTCCAGCCCCACAACCAGATTTTTCTTTTTTTAAACTACAGAGACAGGGTTTCTCTGTAGACCAGGCTGGTCTCACGCTCACAGAGATCCACCTGCCTCTGCCTCCCGAGTGCTGGGGTTAAAAGCATGCCCCACCACTGCCCAGCTAGAGTTTATTCTTAAAGTGCACCCTCATGCATGCCGCACACACCACTACATGTGCTGCCGAATTATCAGGCACCCAGACAGTTCTTTTACTATTTTTGCATAACTATTTTGCTTTTTGGTGAAGCTGGGGACTGATTCTGAGAGGGTCCTTGCTAAAACTGCTTCCAGATCTGGAAGTGGGGGTGATATCCCTTTCCTGGGCTGACATGAGAAGTACCTGAGACTTTGCTCATAGATTGATTGGACGAGGAGGTTGAGGTGTGATTTAGTGCATAGAGCTTGACTAGTGTGTGAAACCCTACACTCAATATCTAGCGCTCAGGGGAAAAATTGCAAGCCAGGGGCTGGGGAGATGGCGCAGTCAATAAGGTGTTTGCCATGAAAGTATGCATCCCTGAGTTTGGATGTGCAGCACCCATGTCAAAATCCAGGCAGGATGGGCCACTATGATAATCCCAGTGCTGGGGAGGTAGAGGTAGGAGGAGGTTTGGACAGAGACTATCCAGCTAATCTTGTCTAATTGGTAAGCTCTAAGGTCAGGGCGAGGCCTTGTATAAAATAAAGTGGAGACTGGAAAGATAGCACTCACTGCTCTTACAGTGGTTACCTCTTACAGAGGTCCAGGGTTTAGTTCCCAGCACCCACATGGTAGCTCAGAGGTATCCATAATTCCGGTTCCTAGGAATCTGAACCCTTTTCTGCCCCCCTCAGGCTCCTGCATGCACAGGGTGTACATATACTCCACAGACTCACACATAAGCACAGAAACAAAAATATATAAATAAATCCTTTAAAAAGAAAGAAAGAAAAGATGGCGTCATTGAGGAAAACACTGGATATTGACTTCTGACCTCACACATGCAAACATCTGTACACATGCATTTCACACACATAGTTAATAATAGCATACATGGTGCTGTTGGTTTCTTTAATCAAATTCAGGGTCTCACACGCTAAGCAGCTGCTTTAGATCCGAGCTAGGTTCTAATGGCTAGACGGCTCTTCTTGGGCAGACTATTTCCCCCAGTGTTTGCGGTTCTAATCAGCTTCCCCTCTCACACAGATCTAGAGAAGGGGCTTCTGAAAGCCCTGAAGGTTCTAGACAATTACTTGACATCCCCCCTCCCAGAAGAAGTGGATGAAACCAGCGCTGAAGATGAGGGCATCTCTCAGAGGAAGTTCTTGGATGGCAATGAGCTCACCCTGGCTGACTGTAACCTGTTGCCAAAGCTTCACATTGTACAGGTGGGTGGTCACTGTGGGAGGAGAGGATGGGATGGATCGTACAGGTGAAGACTTTTTAAAATTACCTTTTATTTATTGTAAGTGGACGGGGCACAAATGGGGTATGGAAGTCACAAGACAATTTGAGAGAGTTGGTTCTCTCCCTCCGCCATGTGGATCCCCAAGACTGAACTTCAGTCACCTGACCTGACTGCAGGTGCCTTTACGAGTGGCGCAATCTCAGCCCCCGCCCCATCTTTCTGTAGATTGTTACCAATGGTGGACCCTGCCCAGGGTGCCAGCCTATCCCTCGGCAGTTGTTGCCCCATTAAGAGAATCCCATCACTAATACTGTGCAGTGTCTGATCAAGAGCGGCATTCCAGATTTTCTGTGTGTGGGCGTGAGTGCCTGTTTGTGTCCAGGGTTACTTCTAAGAAGGCTTTTCCTGCATCTGTATCCCTGCCAAATCCCAAGTTTAAACAAAGCAGGATTCTCTCGTATCTACATAGTAACTCTCTGTATAGCCCAGGCCTCCCATTTCCTCCCGAGGAAGACACAAGTTGCCCTTTCCTATGTTTTTGTCATAGCCTTAAAGCTACAGTGTAACTTAGTAAAACATAGGCCCATTATCCCTCCCCGTGGACTGACTGATAGTAGAACTAGGCCGCCAGAGAGCTGGGCAAGGTGGGCCCTTCCGGTGATTCTCAGCGGTCTCCAGGCTGAGCTGGAGGTCAGCCTTAGCTGCAGAATGAGACCCTGTTTCAGATGACAATGGTCTCCTCCCTCCTAAAAAGATAGAGAGAGAGAGAGAGAGAGAGAGAGAGAGAGAGAGAGAGAGGAAGAAGAAGAAGAAGAAGTAGTAGTAGTAGAAGAAGAAAAGAAGAAGAAGAAGAAGAAGAAGAAGAAGAAGAACCAGATGATGTTCGATTAGTTTTTGCCCACAAAAAGGTTGAAATCAAATCGAATATAAAACATTCACATCAAGGTAATGATATATGACCTGAAAAATCAAATCAAATGAAAAAAAAAGAGACAATTCACTACAAAATAATGTTTCACTTTATGAACTCTTCCTCCTTGTGTGGAAATCCAGGGCTAAGCATATGTCCCTATCCTATCTGTGTGGCGCCCGCCGCCGGGGGTGTGGTTAGTGGGGTGTGAGTGTAGGTGCAGGGAGTTAGATTCAATGTGGGTGCTGGAAATCAAGCTCTGGACTCGTTCAAGAGTAGTGGGTGTTCTTCACCATCGAGCCATTGCTTTATCCGCTCCCTCCCCTCTCTCTCTCTCTCTCTCCCCCCCTTCCCTTCTCTCTCTCTCTCTCTCTCTCTCTCTCGTTATTACTATTTTTTAAATTTATTTTGGTTTCTTGAGACAGTCTTTCTATTTAGTTCTGGCTATCCTGGAACTTGCTATGTAGACCAGGCTGGCCTCAAACGCAGAGATCCTCCTGCCTCTGCCTCCCAGTGCTGGGATCAAAGGCGTGCACCACCATGTCTGGCTTCTCTTCTTTTACTCAAGAGGAGGAGAGTTAAATCACAGAATAAGTTGGTCTGGTAAGGAGCTGGCTATTAATAATTGGGTTTGAGAAAATGAAAAGTTGAGCTGGCCATCTTGGAGATTTCAAATGGCAGGTTAGATAAGAAGCCGGGTGGTGGTGGCGCTCGCCTTTAGTCCCAGCACTCGGAAGGCAGAGGCAGGTGGATCTCTGTGAGTTTGAGGCCAGCCTAGTCTACAGAGTGAGTTCCAAGACAATCAGGGCTACACAGATTTCTGTCTTCAGAAAAAAAAAGAAAGAAAGAAGGGAGAAAGGAAGGAATCAGTAAGAGGATCTAATGTGGCTGGAGTGATGGCTCAGGGGTTAAGAGCACTGGCCACTCTTCCTCGGGACCGAAGTTCAGTTCTCAGCACACACACAGCAGCTAACAACCGTCTGTAATGCGTGCCAGAGGATCTGCCACCCTCCTCTAGCCTTTACAGACACTGCACACACATGGTGCACCGCCATACATGTAGGCAAAACACTCATCCACATAAAATAAAAATAAATTTAAAAGATTTAAAGACTCCAGCCACAGGGGTGTGTACCTGTACTCCCAGCTCTCAGGCTGAGGAGAAAGGTTCTGGAGATCGGGCCAACCTGGGTTACAGAGAGAGAGACGCTGCCTCAAAACAACAGCAACAAAAGAATTCGAACGCTAAAAATTGAAGCCAGATGGTCTGGAAGACCCTGGAGGAAGAGAAAGACCAACAGCTCCAGAGCAAAGCAAGCGTGTCTTCCCTGGGGCTGACACGCTGACTTCTCTCTAACCCCCAGGTGGTGTGTAAAAAGTACCGAGGTTTCACCATCCCAGAGGCTTTCCGTGGAGTTCATCGGTACTTGACCAACGCTTACGCTCGGGAAGAATTCGCCTCCACCTGTCCAGACGACGAGGAGATAGAGCTGGCCTATGAGCAAGTGGCCAAGGCCCTGAAATGAGCTGCTTTTCAAGGCTTCCTCGCCCACTTCTGTGCTCCCCATAGAGGCTCTGGGAGGCTGCCTAATGGACACTCCAGAATAGCCAGTGTCAGGAAATCCGGGGCACTCGTGTGGGGCTGAGGGAGAAGTGGGAGAAAGCATAGGCGACAAGGGTAAGATTTTTATTGTGGGGTGGGGGTGGGGGGTAAGACGATGTATTTCGGTAATAAAATACAGAACGAAAATCTAGTGTTGTTTTTTACACAAAGAGGACTTAAAGTGTAGAGGGGAAGGGTCATAATGATCTTATTTAAGCTCAGGGCATCTACCAGGAATTAAGGAGGGGAGTGTTTGTGCAGGGGCTGCCATGTTCTGCATCCGTCCATTAGAGGGCTGTTTTGTGGTCCATGTCTTGTTTGCAGCCCGGCAGCCAGGGCCAGCCGCATCTGAGTGGGCCTGGGCAGCGCTCTTGGGGCGGTGCCGGAGTTCAGGGTGGGGGGGTGGGCTCTCAGTCCTGGAGGAATGGGCGCGGCCTAGCAGGGCGGAATGGGCGTGGTCTTGGGAGATCCCTCCCCGTCCCGCTTAGACAATGCCCCGGAGCCGCCAGACCATCGCGCCCCCGCCCCATCGCCGTCTGTGAGCTCGCCTACCCGGGGAACCCCTCAAAAACCCAAGCTCCCAGTCTCCCCCGCTTGAAGACTCGGGCTCCCATCTTCATCAACTCTCTCCTCTGGGGGTGGGGCCAAGGCCGAAATCACAGCGCTGCGTGAGTGGAAGTGGCCGCTGGTGAGTCTGGAGAGGGGGCTGTCCCCGAACGGTATGGAGAGGCTGGAGTTTGGGGGTGCTGGGTCGGTGCTTGCACCGGACGGAGTCTGCGAATAACCTGCACTTGAACGAGGAGCTGGGCAGGATAGACTTTGGTGGAAGATGGACAGGGGTACCGAGTTCTGAAGCCAGTTCCACGCCCCCCGTTTCCCCGCCCTCCGGATTTTGTTGAAGACCTCTCCCAGTCCTCCGGGACTAAGTCTGGTGTATACTGGGTCGCTCGAAGGGCAACGTGACCAGCCAGGGTGGAGAGGAAGGATGCTTAACTCCTTAGACTCAATTTCTCTGGGTTGGCCCTCTTCTCCTTTCTCATTCGAGCATTCAGGACTTCCACATCCCAGGCCCCGACTCATTCATTACCCAGCTTTCTTTTCCAGTCCCATAACCTCTGAGGGTCCCTGGCAGGACTTCGGGTCCCTCCTGCTGCGAGCAGCTGAGGGTTAAGGGGGCGGGGACGCCGCATTTTTGGGGAGTGAGCGCATCCTAGCGGCTGCCAGGAGGGGCGCGGGGCAGGGACCTAGCGGAGCCCCGGAGCAGGGGCAACAGGTGTTTGGGAGATTAAGGATCCAAGTCTTGCTCTTTGGGCGCCTCTTAAAGTAGATCTCTGCTGAAAGGAGGCTGAGCGGGATCCACAGGGCGAAGAGGTCTGGAGGGGGTGGGGCAGAGTGGGAGGGGCGCCTGGAGATGGCCGGAGGAAGACCCAGGAGCTTTTAACACTCCCCCCCTTCTCTTCTTTGCATGTCTTTCTCTGCTACCCTCCCCCTTTCTGTCTCTTCTCCCAGACAAGTGAAGTAAAGAGAAAACAGAAATCAGCTTGGCTGGAAGGGACATCTGTGTGGATGGGATGGGGACGCCGGGGGAGGGGCTGGGTCGCTGTTCCCATGCCCTGATCCGGGGTGTCCCCGAGAGCCTGGCATCCGGGGAGGGCGCGGGGGCTGGTCTTCCGGCTCTGGACCTGGCTAAAGCTCAAAGGGAGCATGGAGTACTAGGAGGTAAACTGAGGCAACGACTAGGGCTGCAGCTGCTTGAACTGCCTCCCGAGGAATCACTGCCGCTGGGACCACTGCTTGGTGACACGGCCGTGATCCAAGGAGACACGGCCCTAATCACGCGGCCCTGGAGCCCAGCGCGTAGGCCCGAGGTGAGCGGCAGGGTACGGGTGTGTTGGAGGACAGAATTACACGCGCGCGAGATGGGGGGTAGCGGTCGTGGGGAGGAGGCTGGATGTCTGGGATTGGCAGGAAGTAGGGAAGGAGAATGGCTCAGCCGGCGCTCTCTCCTCCAAGGTTGATGGAGTCCGCCAAGCCCTCCAGGACTTGGGGCTCCGAATTGTGGAGATGGGAGACGAGAACGCGACGCTGGACGGCACCGACGTCCTCTTCACAGGTGAGGCTACAGATAGTCAGCGCCCCTGGGGACTTGGCGCAAGGAAGCAGAGTTTGGGAAATTAGGCGATCTCAGGTCTTGATTCCAAACTCACTCTGGCCTTCAAACCTCGGTGTCCTCCCGGATTCAGGCCGGGAGTTTTTCGTAGGGCTCTCCAAGTGGACCAATCACCGAGGAGCTGAGATCGTGGCAGACACGTTCCGGGTGAGAAGCCAGAATAACTTGGGGAGGGAGCGCTGCCAATGTGCCAGAGGGCTCGATCTGGGCTCCTTACGCACCCCTAAATCCTTCTGGTCTCTCTAGGATTTCGCTGTCTCCACCGTGCCGGTGTCCGGAGCCTCGCACCTGCGCGGCCTCTGCGGCATGGGGGGACCCCGCACTGTCGTGGCTGGAAGCAGCGAGGCTGCCCAAAAGGCTGTCAGGGTGAGGCGGGGCTGGTCTGGTGGCGAAGGCGTGGCCAACAAAGTGGGCGTGACTCAGAGCAGGGGCGGCAGGGAATCTGGCTAGCTCTGAGAATTGCTCTCGGCCCTTGTCCTCACTAAGACGCTTGTCAAACACAAAAGGACATCCTAGTAAACAAGGGGTACGGAAGAGGTGGGGAGGAGCTGCAAAAGTAAACGGTAGCTAAAGTGGCTGAGACCTAGAAACTGACACAGCATGTGTTATATACTTGAAATTATTATCTCACAAATGTAACCCTTGTCCCAAGCCTCTATTTTATGTTCGGTCAGACTGAGCTGTGGGGAGCTCAACACCCTCTTCTCTTCCTCTCTCCAGGCAATGGCAGTGCTGACTGATCACCCCTACGCCTCTCTGACCCTCCCCGATGACGCAGCTGCTGACTGTCTATTTCTCCGTCCTGGGTTACCTGGTACCACTCCTTTCCTCCTGCACCGTGGAGGTGGGGACCTGCCCAACAGCCAGGAGGTGAGGGAGGAGCAAACTCCACCAACCAGAGAAAGAAGCCTGTCTTTCCCGGTGGAGGAATGCAGGCCGCCTTTCTGCAGAAGCCTGGGTGGGGTCAGTAGAACTGACCAGAGGGCAGCCTGGTTCTGGTATCAGAACACCTGCGGTGTCCTCCCCACAGGCTTTGCAGAAGCTCTCAGATGTCACCCTGGTACCAGTATCCTGCTCAGAACTGGAGAAGGCCGGCGCTGGACTCAGTTCCCTCTGCCTGGTGCTCAGCACACGCCCCCACTGCTGAGGGCCTGGGCGTGGGGCTCCAACTGGCCAGGAATAGAGCCGTATAGGGGGTAGAATCAGGTAATAGAAGATGGGAGGTAGGTAGTGGTGGGGAGAGGCCCCAAGACAAGGGAGGGCTTAGTGTGAAACAAAGAATAGGAGCCATTGGGTGAGTCCTCTCTGTCAGAATCAATAAAATAAAATTGGCCTTTTAGGTAAGGTTGTGGCTGGTGTCTCACTGGGACAAAGGGATGGGGTGGGGCCGAAACCTGAAGCTGGGGTCAGTGCTGGGGAGGAAGACTTTTTTATTTAAAAACCCTCCTCTTTGTGTGTCCCTGGCTCACTCCTGGCCCTGTCACAGAGCTGAGGTACAAAGGGACAAGAGATTGCTGTGGGGAGTATACCCAGGGCAGAAAAGGGGATTCCACGCATGGGTGGATCATTTTCTGACTTCACCTAAATGGCCGTGATTCAGACTCTGGCGGATTACCTGTCCTCCTTTGTTTGGTGGAGAACAGTGTTTCCAGACATACATTTGTTCATGGTCTGTGGCTTTCCCAGGGATTCGAAAGGGTTCGTCTCCTGATGTCCGGAAACTCATAGTTCCCGATAATTTCTTATAATTTGGCAGATATGTTATGCTGGCATGACTTTCGGGAGTCTGTTCAGATCAGGGGGTTTCTAGAGCCTCGAGTTTTGTGGCAGGAGTGGGTGAGCATTTGGGATGAGGATTGGAATCCTAGAAAAGGCTACATTTGAATGAAATCCCGGGAAAAATAATTATCCCAGTGAGGAAGAAGGAAAAGGAATTCAGAAGATGGAGTTTACTTCACTGGGCCAATGAATATTGTAGGGAGAAAGCTGTGGAGAATCTAAGGGGGGCAACGTGTGCACAGGGAATGACAGATAAGCCTGGGACACAAAGTGCCACAGCATCTGGACCCCAAGCCTCGGGAGTGGAGCAGCGGTGGCTACGGGAGGGCAGGAGGATGAGACGGGACTGGGGGCCACCCATGCAGCAATGATGAAAGCATACTCTAGTGCCGGCACTAGACATGGAGACAGGGACAGGTCTGCCAGTGACAGGCACAAGGCCTGGTGTGGTGGTGCACGCCTGCTGTCGCTGTAACTCCAGCACTGAAGGTGGATGCGAGGGGATCAGGAGTTCAAAGCCAGCCTCTGCTACAGGAGAGCCAATCTTTAAAGGAAAGATGGGGGAGCTAGCTGTCCCTGTGTGGGAGAGGAGTTGGTGTGCCCTGACTCCCAGTTTCTGGCTTGGGCAACTTGGGTTGGTCACAAGAATGTGGAGGAGGGCCCAGGGGATAGCTTGGGAAATGGCTGAGTCAAGTTTGATGGGCCTTGAGTAAAATGCCCAAGGCCAGCTGGACAGGGTGTGCTAGGACTGAGGTCTGGGTTGGAGGGAAGGGGGCTGAGGGTTGGCTAGCTTCCTATAAGAGGAAGTAAGAAGGAGAAAGAAAGAGGCAAACAGAATGGCAGGATGTCTAGAAGAAATACTGCGGCAACAAAGTAAACCAGGGTTTAGAGAGGGGTGATCTAAGGCCATGTATGTGAACGCTATCATGCTGGCTAGGACATCCCTGGCAGCCTTACAGACAGCAGCTGCAGCTGCATCTCAGGAATGCACAGGGATGGAGTGAGGCAGGAAAATGAGGCCGGATGTATGCCTGAAGTTCAAAATGCTTGTTTGGAAAAGGAGAGGGAGCAGATAGAATGTCTATTTGGGAGTTAAAACTTAGACAGACGGCTTGATTATCTTTAGATGAAGTTAAGACGTTATAGGAGAGATGGCCAAACAGCTGGCAGACCCACACCGCAGGTATCCAGACGCAGGCGAGTGCCTCTGTCCATGGTCCTCCCCCTCCAGCTGAGGAGGTTGTGTAGAGAAGGGAAGCCCCGGATTGGAGGGCGTGGCGAACAAGGGCCTCCTTTTAAACTACAACCGCATAAATAGTGGAGGCATCACCAGGAACCACTGTGGACGTCCGGCGGTGCCTCCCGAGGACGGAGTGGTCCAGATCAGCATAGTGCAGACTCTGAAGGAGGTAGAGGGGGAAGGCAGATGGTCTCTGCAATCTGACCCCTTAGTTTAGAATCAACCCTCCGCCCCTGTGTGCAGCGGAGACGGTGTAGCAAGTCTGGGCTCCAACCTCCTGCTTAAACCTCCAGAGTCCTGGAATTCCATGGCTGCTCAACTACAACCTGGCTAGGCTTCTTTTTTGACCCCCTTTCCTCCGCGTTCCTATCCCCAGGCCCTTACCGGCTCCTGGTCCACGTGGCCTGAGATCTTGGACTCCTGTTCTAAAGGCCGCTGCGGCTCAGCATTTCTGACTGGAGCTGAGTGGGAGGGAGGGACAGAGCTGAAGGGTGAAGAGAAAACGACCAACTTTGTCTGCTACCGGCAAGGACTCAGACTCAATTCAGGGTTAGGGATTGTTCGGGTAGGAGAGGAGGAGATGGGGTGCAGTTAATCTCACCAAACGTGGGGAATGGTCGAGGCGAGGGCGGGGGCGGGGACGAGTGCCTGTAAGGAAGTCCTTGGAGAGTCACCAGTCTCGCCCTACTGGTTCCCCGGCCGCAGGCGGCGCCAATGAGAACTCTACAAACTGCAGTCTCCGACCAGCAAAACAACTTAGGCTCCTCCGGAACCTGGTCGCGCCCACTCGCTGGGCTTTCTGCCCTCCTAGTTTGGTTCCTGCAGCCTGGACTTTCTACTCCAGCCTGTAGCCTACACCCAAGGGCTGAGCCTCTCGCTTTCTTCAAACCACCGCCAAGCCTCCAGTTCTTTATTCTTTGCTTAGGTTAGGGTTCTCTCCCACCTCTTTCTGTCCCCCCACCCCCGCCCAGACTGGTCACACCCTATATTAAGCCAGACTCCGCCTCCAGTGCTCACCTGCGCCGCCACCAGACCAAGCCCGAGGCACCCAGTCCCAGCACCAGCCCAACGCCCAGCAGAGCAATCAGGACCTTGGGATACCCGGAACCTGGGGAGATGTGCGAGGCAGAGAGGGATGCCGAGGTCAGGGGTACGACCACAGGGTCCTACTAGCTCCCCGGCTCTACAAGACTCCGCCCCACATTTGGTCCAAACTAAGTGCCCCTCTGCATCTGGTCCTCGACCTACCGTGGGTAGATTCTGAAATCTTGCAGTCTGCTTTGTCCCCCAACACTTGAAGCACCGTGCGGCTCTCATTCTCTTGGCGTCCTTTGCAGAAAAAGGTGCCAGAATCCCCGGCCCTCAGCAGCAGCTCCAGCCGCTTGATACCAGTGTCCAGGGACCGCAGGCGGCCAGAGAAGTGTGCGTGCACATTTGGGGACGAGGCCCACAGGATCGGACGGCGCCCTTTGGACAGGCCCTTGCACGCAGGGAAACTAGGCGCCCAAGCCCAGCGGGTGGGATCTGAGACCCCTATGCAAGAGAGATTCACCCGGTCCCCAGGGCTGCCCTCCAGAGAAACTAGGGAAGGCGGGAGAAGTGGGTGGTTAGGGCTAGTTTACCAGGCTAGATCTCTCTGCCTCTGTCTGTCTTTCTCCCCTTCCCGCCCCCCTCCCCGCCCCCACACCTTCTTTCCTCTACTCTGCCCTTCTACGTTCTGGATCTTATACACAGTCCCCTCCACAGGCAACCCTAGCCTGTCTCAGTCTTTCCCTGCCCATCACAGCTCCCCAGGGATGGCCTACCCTCGGAATCCCCCTGGACCTTTGAGAGCAACAGAGGCAGCAGTTGAAGAACCAGGGCCATGGCTAGGATGTGGTACGCAAAGGCGGGAGTGAATCAGCAGAGAGACCGGAGAGGGAAGCAGAGGGGCAGGGATAGGGCTACTGCGAGCAGGGGCTCAGATAAGAGCAAGCCTGAGGCGGCCAATTCCTGGATCCCTCGAGGAATTCTCACAAACCAACTAGCAGTCTTAAATCTTTCAAAACTCTTTAAAATTTGTGCTCGGGACCTTTTGCATAGGCTTTAAGCTTCTTCTTCTTCTTCTTCTTCTTGTTCTTCTTCTTCTTCTTCTTCTTCTTCTTCTTCTTCTTCTTCTTCTTCTTCTTCTTCTTCTTCTTCTTCTTCTTCTTCTTCTTCTTCTTCTTCTTC